GCTTCCAGTTTACTTAAATCAGCCCCTAGAACTCCCTTCCGTCTTTACTGTTGCAGCCTCATCCTTGTTGCCAAGGGCTCTGAGGGTCCTCCTGCTGGAGCAGTACTCTGCGCTTCCAGGAGGCTCCACTGGACCTTTCTTGAATTCTTTCCTCAAGCCTTGGAGGAGCTGAACTTCACAAGGATCCAAAGCCCCAGCTGTGGAGCTTTAGGGACTTGAGCTTAGGGCTTCCCAGGCAGAACCCCTGCTGCGTCCCCCTGCGCAAGTGACTTGGCCCCAAGGTGCCTCTCTTTCCTCATCTAGAAAATGGGGGTAGTAGAACTGATGTTACCTGGCTGTTGTGAATCTTAACTGGGATAATGCAGGCACTAGATATAGGGCAACTAGTTAAGCAATAGATGTTGCTTAACTCTGATGGGATATTTTCCTCCTGTGGAGGGGAAGAAAGGGGGCCTGATTTCAGTTTCTGGGGTTTAAGGCAGAAATGTGGCTTCTAGAATGTGTGCAGCCTTCTGGGAGATTCCTGTAGAGTGGGCAGGCAGCCCCTTCTTATTCTTTGCAGCCTGTTCTAGTGCTTCTCTAACAAGGAGGATCTGTGGATGTCTCCTAGGGAGGAAAAAGTGGGACAGGAAAGGTGGGAGCTTCTTGCTCTTGGGAACAACTAGCGGCGGGAACCAAGGCCAGAAACCTGGACAACCTCATTTTCAGTCACCCAGGCTGGGCCTTGGGACCAGTTTCCAGAATGTCGGGTCACCCTGCGGCATTCCCGCAGCAGGCGGCAGGCGCCCAGCCCTAGCTCGGCGTCGGGGAAGCAGCGCTGCGGGACGCCCGCCCGGCTCCGGGGCCGCGGGAGGTAAGCCACTGGCCACAAGGCCACGCCTCGGAGCCGCCAGCGCTCACTTCACTGCCGGCCCGCCCGAGGCAAATGGTTGACTTCCAAATCTGCCCGCGTCCGCAGCCAAGACCGGGCAGGTCCGACGCCCGCCAAGCCGCGGAGTTGAAACGCTCCCAAAGAACCGGCCGGCCTCATCCTCGAGCTAGAGGACGCGCTAGGGCTTGCCGGCCTGGCCCGCGACCCAGGAGCCCAGCGTCCCGCTGGGGCCCGTCCACCCCTCTCCTTGGACTGCGCCAGCCTCCAGCCTCCCTCCCGGAGGACGAGTCTTTGGGCCGCGGGCCCAGGGAGGCCTAAGAGGGCCCCCAAACTCCGGGCTCTCAGGAAGTTGCAGTATCGAGTGCAGAGTCCCGGCACCTTTTGGAGGCTGGGGCCGAGGGTAGGGCGGGCTACCGGGAGCAGGTCGCAGACCGTGGGCCTGCAGTCGCGGGCCGTGCGCCTAGGTCGCCAGAAGAGTGCAGAACAGGGCGGGAGACCTGGGGGTTTGGGCAGCAGGTGTCCCCAGGCGGGCGGGAGCCCGCATTTCCGTAAACAAAGAAACGGGGCAGCTAGTCTCAGGAGAGGGGGTGGCTGTTAAGAGAATCGCGGACAATTTCCTTCATAAAAATGCGATCTGAGAGCATTTGATTTCCACTTTCACTCCCCCCATCCCCCGCCCCAACACACGCACCGTCTCTAAAGACACTCAAATTGCAGCCATATGGGGCTAAAGTAATAGGAAGCAGTTACCTTATTTACTGCAGAGGCGGCGCACGCAAACCTGGCAGCCGCAGCCTCAGCAGCGGACCGCCGAGCAATGGGATTAAGAGTAGCGTGTCTTGTCTTTTACAACTTTGTTTTGTTTGCTCCTGGGAGGTGTAGGTGGGAAAGGCAATTATCTTAACTTTGAACCAGGAAAGCGGTTGTGTGGAGAAAAGAGAGGTGGCGAGAATTTAGTCAGTCAGGGAAGGGGGTTCGATAAGAAAGGTGGGGAACAAGGATCCTCTTTCTGTAGGTTCCTAAGACCGTACCACCAGCTGACCTGTCTGGTTCAGACCCGGCTGGAATGACGGCAGACCTCCCCCCCTCCACGCCCATGCGTGCTAGCCCCCTCTCCTAGCGCCCTCTCCCGGAACACAGGACTTCCTCCCGTGCCCACCTAGCCAGAGCCCGGGAGGTGGGCTCCCATTTCTCAGACCGCCACCTCCCGCTTTGTCTCCAAATTGTCAAGGAGTGAGGTTGCCCGGTGACCTGTTTTCACACCCCCTGCAACGCTGCTCTCTCGCGGGCAGTTGGGGGGCAGCGGGTGCACCAGGCAGGGATGAGACATACTCATCCTTCCTTGCTTTCCTTGGCGGGACTGAGCGCGTCTGCTGCTGACAAGAGCCAGGCTCCCTGCCCTTAGATTATTCTATACCTCTTCTTTCCTTCTGAATCGAGTTCCACCTTTGCCACAGGCTTTGCAGGATTCCCCGACGTTTGCAAACTCAGACTCTTTGCAAGTGATAATTTTGTTCAGAGCAAGCATTTCCGAAATAATCACCATCAGGCACGAAGACAGGTGGAGAATTGGGTGGGGAAGCTAAGATAATTACCTAAGACCATATCCAGAGGAGGGGGCCGCACCTGCCAGCATCAGAGGTTTCATTTCTTTAAGTTTCAGAGGTATTTAGGCAAAGAAGGGAGAATGAGGCAGAAAGAGAGGGAGACGGAAGGAAGGAAGGAGGGAAGGAAGGGAGGAAGGAAGGAAAATGGAAAGAACGCATGGAGGAAGGACTAAAGCTATCTTTTTCGGGGAGAAACTGAAACCATCTCCTGCACGCCTAGTGCAAACCCCATGGTCTGTAAAGGCATCAAGGGCAAGCACAACTCTGGGAATCCGGTTCCAGAAACCCTATCTGAAGGAAAACCACCGCTCTTCGCGGGTGCGTGAGAGCTTGCCACGGGTGGGGGTAGGGCGCGAGGTCAGGCGGGTCAGGTCCCCACGGCCCACGCCGGGAAGGCCCCCTCCCTCCCACTTCCACAGTGGCCCTGAAGCCAGCCCGAGGGGCTGAGGCGGCCGGTGCGGGGCTGGGGCCGAATCCTCGGCGGACAGCGGATTCCAAGAGGGGGCAGGCGGGAAAGGCAGAGCGACCCGGGCCCAGGGCGGAGGGTGGGCTTTCTCAGGGCGGGGAAACCAGACACTTATAGGCGGCTGAGGCCGACTTTATTTTTACTGCCCAAACTGTTGGAAAGTATTTAAGCTTAAACAGAAACAGCTGTATCGCTGGCACCGGCCGACGAAACTATTTGTTACCGGGAATGACTTTTTATGATTAAGGACGCGGCCGTCGGCGGCCTCCCACGGGCGGCCCGCGAGGGTCACTGGGAGATCTGAGCGTCCTCGACGCGCTGTTCGTTCAGACAGAACGGCCGGAGAGATGGGACTGTTCGGCCAGCGGTCACCTTGTGAAGTTTAGGAGCAAGGCCAAAACCTGCAACCCGTGTTTCCAGGGGCCGGGGCAGGACCGGGAGGGAAGATGGGCGAAGCGCCCCGCTTGCCGCCGCGGGTCGAGGACCTCGCGGCTGCCGCCGTCTGCGCGCGCCTCACTTTGGACAGGAGGCCAGTTTTCCGCTCTGGGCTTCCTGCCTCTCCGAGTCAGACTCCTTGGCTGCTTCTCTCTCTCTTCCTATCGTTCTCTCGCTGCCTCTCTTTTTTTCCCGCCTCTCTTTCTTCCACCCCATCTCTGGCCAAGGGAAACCGCTTCCAGTCAGGCTGATCATCGATGTTTGAACTAAATCGTGGGTTCCGAGCAGTGGGAGTTGTGATTTGGAGCTTGAGCACTAAGCGAACAGGGTGGGAGGGAGCTGGACCCAGAGTGCGGCTGCTGTCCCCAGCGCCGCCCCCGCCACGGGTCA